TAGTCACCAGTCGGCATTGGCCGGTGGATGGAATTCGGAGGAGGCCTAATCTGTGGGATCTGATCGGTCTATTGGAGGTGATTGGCAGCAGTTTACCTCAGGATGCAGCAACTATGTCGTGCAAACCCTTTCCAGCACTAAAGGTTTCCCACATTCTGTTTCAAAGAATAGTTTAGTAAGTCAGTCTAAAGCAGATAAATCATCATACCGCTCAGAAGAGAAACAAAATCTTCACCCACCCCAATGGAGAACTGATTTGATTGATTTAAGTTTTTTTTAATGGTCCTGAATTAAATCTGCACCTGGCTTGAGAGTTCATTTGAAAAACAGAAGATCTTTTCAATAATTAATTTAGGTTAATGATGTAGTCATGCCCTATAATAAGATGAATAGCATGCCTTTTCTCATTGATTTGAATCAGATAGAAATTGGCTTAAAGCCAAGCAAAACCAGAATCATTTCAGAGCCCAGTTTGTCCACTTCTCCACATTTAGGGGTATAACCAGAAGAAAGATGATGAATGAAACTACTCCCAGACAAACATTACTTTTTCTCCCATTTTCACCCATATCTCAAGCCAGCGTCTTCTTGCCCCTTCTTGCTTACAGTTACTCAATGAACTTCTCATTTCCTTTTGATATTATTACAACTCATCATTTTCATTCTTTTCTCAGCTTTCCATGAAAGGACCTCCTGGCCCAATGGGACTCACAGGAAGGCCAGGACCACTAGTGAGTAAATGTGATTGTTCAAAGCTGACCCATAAATTGAGAGTAATAGGAATTTTTTAAAGAAAGTTTTGAGTTTCATACTCAACTCTGTGCTGTGAATCATGGTTAAATTATTATTGTCTATGTATTGTATTTTGGCTGAAATGAATGATTCTTCAGCATATAACAGATTTCATAGGGGGAAAAAAATACTACATGGCCCACAAGCATTTTTCTTTCATCGACATTGAAAAGAACTTTAATCTCTTGAAATTGTCTAAACCTATTTGTGGGCCAAGCTACAAATGATCTTAACAATGTCTTATCTGTGAATGTACAACATTCAAGGACTGGGAATGGAGTGTTTCAGAAAACTCCCAATATATTTTATTTCCTCTCTAGAGCATGAAATCTCAGGATCATGCCATTCTGGGGAGAGTTTGGCAATTTCCAGAAATTCTGTTCCCCTTTGGATCGTGCTATACCTTCCTAAAATAGCATGGCCAAGGGAAGAATTTGTATGTCTGGAAGGAAAAATTGTTGAGTTTTCTGAAACATATCGTTCCTGAATCGCTACATTTTGTGTATTTCTATATTTGCCCTTAGATATGGGATTTTTCCCCCATGCACAGAGAAGGGGGGAGACAAAATATATAGTCTGTCCCTCTATACTACATTGCTGCTGATATCCAATAATAGCAGTCCACACATAGAAAACGAATTGACTTGGGCAAATGGTAAGCTACCAGTGATAGACCTGATCTCATCTTTAGTTTTTATTTCCTGCTTCAGACCATTCCCCCAAATTTACTTTAGGCTGCGAAACCACAACTCCCCATACTTCTTTATTGATCAATGGGTGTAGAGTGTGCAAACATCATCATTCCATGTATCACTTTCGGTTAGAGGAGAAACTAATATTTTCAGGAGTAAAATGCCTGAATTTTCCTCATATGTATTGCTTTGCTGAATTTTTTTTTAATTAACAGATAGAATAGTTCTGCTCCATCAAATCCTGGATGTATTCACTATGGTTGGATTGTTCATCTGTGGAATTTTCTGGAAGAAATTAATCCATTTTTAAATATGATTTCTACAGGGTCTACCAGGAAAATCAGGACAAAAAGGGGATTCGGGTGACTCCGGACCCCAGGTTGGTTGCTGAAGATGGACAGGAGGGGCTTGGGCTATGCTGGTAGGGAATTCTGGGAGTGGAAATCTAACACCCCTGGAGGACACAAGGTTGGTAAAGTGTGAAGTATAAAAATGCCAGGCTGCCCAGTCTCTTTTCCATTCAGGCTTTCTTATCCTTTTCTCTTTTTGTGCCTTCGAGTCAGTCTTGACTGCTGTTGACTGCCTGGACTAATCCTTGCAGTTTTCTTGGCAAAATATTATCAATGGCTGCTTCAATGAATGACTCAAGGTCAACAAGCTGCATTTGTGGCCAAGGTGGAATGAGAACTCAATCTTCTGTTTCTAGCCTGGTACTTAACAGTTACACCAGAAGTGGGGAACTATGGCCCTTTTATGACTTGTGGACTTCAATTCCCAGAGTTTCTAGACTCAGGAATTCTGGGTGTTGAAGTCCACAAGTCATAAAAGGGCCATAGTTCCCCACTTCTGGTGTAACTGTTCTGTTCTGACCACCTCTTTCAGCCAATAACGAAAGCCGAGGCAAGCTTAACGGGAATGTACTTTAATAGCAAGAAACCGAAACCTCAGTGGCTGAAAGCCAAGCATAACAAACAGATAAGGACCTTGGCAGCAACTCAGACAAACCTTGGCAGCAATCCAGCCTGCCAAGGTAGTTACAAAATTTATCCAACTTTTAGTCAATGAGTTGACTTCTGCAAAGAGGGGTGTGTGCACAAGTAGTCTTTTAATAGTCTGGAGAGGAGCCTAATGACCACCAGCTGAGTGCAAGTACTTGCACAACTGTTCCTGATGCCTATTAGCTCTTCAGTGCCGTGCATCCAACGGCACAACAACCGGAACAACTCACTACTGGCATCCGGCTCACTCTCCCTTGTCTCCTCCCCACTGGTCCAAGGCTCAGGCGCCACCTGGTGCCCAACCAGTCTCTCTGCGCCCTGCTCGGAGTCGGAACCCTGTCCAGGGTCCTCCACATCCCCCAGAGTCAACTCATCAGGCCCCTTGCTGTCGGAGTCTGGTGGCAGCTCCAACGGCTCCTGCCGGGCCAAACAGGGTAGGTAGGAAGGCCACCCAGGAGAT